TATGGGGCAGGGATGGTTTGGTCACAATGGGTTAGAAAGTCCCCTGCATCTCTGAAATTCTGCACTTCTACTGCTTGGATTTCCCCTTTATTATGTTCTTCCCTGGGAGGAAACATTGCTACCCCACTTTGTAGCATATATGGAAATGGCTTTGGCAAGAAACATAATAATAATATGGCCATCACTTTCCTAAAAATACAAACCAGGTGTGTAAGTTGACACCAGTTCTGGGCTCTCTTAGACTAAAAATAACAGGGCAAGCTGCATTCACTGTGAAGGAAATTAGCACCAGTGGTCCCTCCCTCAGTGAGAGCTAGGAACCCAATTCTTCATTTTGGGCTATAAAAGTACTCCTGGATAGCTTGAAAGAGCTTTCAAAAAACCATTTCCCCAAGAGATACACATTTTATTTGTGGAAAAACCACATTTTGAAATATTAGGTCCTGAATAAAGAGGGATCAGTCATTGTAAAATTCAAAACTTCACAGATGCTCAGAAAGGCCCATGAAGTTGCGGGTAATACGAAGTTTCAGGCTGTCCAGCTAGAAACCAGAAATGCAATGCAATCTGAATGAGGAAAAGTTGAGCCTTTTCTTCTGTTGGAGCAATGATGCTTGAGAAAAAGACAGTAACAGAACATGAAGACAGAGCTGGAAGCAGTATCAAGGGTCATAGAGATGGAAGGAAACTCCACTGTATCTAATCCAACACTCCCATTGCTACGGAGGAAAAAACAGAGGCAAGAGGAGGTTACATGACTTGCCAAGGAAAGCAGATAGCAAGGGGCAGAGGCAAGATTTGAAATCGTTCACTGCTTCTTCATTTCAGGAAGCATGGTCCTTTGTGAAAGAGGGTAGGTCTGGATGTGAATGAAGAGACCACAGAAATGCAGAGCCAAAGGAACAATGCCTTGGCAATGTGTAATTCGAGGAGGAAAGCTGCTGGTTGAAAGGACATCTGACATGATCCCTCTGGTTCAAATGTTTAGTGAATTTAAAAAAAAAGCCTCTCCCACCTCCATTTTCCTTACAGTTCTTTCTCTGAACTGTACTTTGACAGACCTAATCATGCTCTGCCTCATTTTTTACTTGTCTTAGTGTGTCATATTCCCCTAATAGAATTTCATGTCCTGGAAGGTGGGGTGGTTGTCATTTTTATCACCCACATAGTGGGTGATGCTAATAGAACATACTTAGTTATTGTCTCAAGGCTATATTGTAGAGGGTCTCTCACACCTGCAAGGATTTGTGTTTTGCATTTTTGTTTTTTAATTCTGAACTTAAAAAATGAAACAAGCATTTCCATAACATGGTAGAATAGAAAAAAAGATGATTACACATGAAACTGCAAATTTATTATGTATAACTTACTATTCCTTTTAAATTATATAATAAAGTCATCATACAACTTTCTTTTCTTATTTTCTTTCCTTGCCATGCCACTCTAGAGATGGTTACCATTAGAAACAAATATGTGTATATATTTAAAACCATTCTATAGTCCTTGGCAGTTAATTTGGGTATTTATAATAGTCAAGATCACTCAAAGTTGTTCTTAAGATATTATCGCTCTTACTGCGCACAGCATTCTCTTGGTTCTGTTCATTTTGCTCTTCATTATTTCATGCGAGTCTTTCCATGTTTTTCTAAGGTTGTGTAGCTTATCATTTCTTAGGGCACAGTAATAGTCCATCACAATTGTACATCACAACTTGTTCAGCCATTCCCCAATTGATGGGCATCCCTGCAATCTCCAGTTCTTTGCCATCACAAAGAGAGGTGCCATAAATATTTTAGAACATAGAGGTAGTTTTCCTTTTTCCCTGATCATCTTTGGAAACAGGCTAATACGGTGTTGCTGGATCAAAGGGTATAGGCAGATTAATAACTCTTTGGACATAATTCAGGATTGTTCTCCAAAATGACAAGATCAGTTCACAGTTCCTTCACCAGTGAATTAGTGTCCCAATTTTTCCACATCCCTTTCAATATTTGTTTTTTTCCCTTTCAATAACTTTAGCCAATCTTATATCTGTAAAACGATATCTCAAGGTTGTTTGAATCTGCATTCTCTAATCAATAATGATTTAGAGCATCTTTTCATATGACTATAAATTGTTTTGCTTTTTCCATCGGAAAACTGCGTGTTCACATCCTTTGACCATTTATCAGTTGGGGAGTGGCTTGTATTCTTATAGATGTGACAAAGTTCTTTATATATTTGACATATGAGACCTTTATCTGATAAATTCTCTATAAAAATTGTTCCCAATTTTCTGCTTTCCTTCTGATCTTGGTTACATTTGTTTTATTTGTACAAACCCTTTTTAATTTAATGTAATCAAAATTACCATTGTGCACCTCACACTAAGCCCTATCTCTTGTTTGCTAGCAGGGAACCATTGAATGCTTTGGAGTCATGGAGTGATGTGATCAGAGCAGTGCGTCAGGAATGAGGCAATGTGATGCAGTGGACAATTCGTTGACTCTGAATTCAAATGCCCTGGATTCAAATCCTGCCTCTCAAGCATACTATCTGTGTGTTCTTGGTGAAATCCTGTCAGCATCCTGGGCCTTTGCATCTTCATTGGCTGAATGTTGAGTTTGGGTGAGACAGCTCTGTGGTCTCTTTCAGGTGAAGTTCTACGCGCCTAGGATTCTAAATCATAGCAGTGAGCAGGATGCATTGACCAATGACACTAATAGGGAAATATCATTGTTTAGCTAATTGACTCTGCTGGAAAGAAACTGTTTCTAGGCTTTCCTTACACAGAGGAAATTTTGTCCTGATTTTAGCCCTCTCTGGTTTTGTTCTCCTTTTGGAAATCCAGCTTGTGATGCACAGAGAGTTGTGCATTGGGCCAGGGGAGATGCATCTGTACAGATCTCTCACCCAAGATCCTTTCTGTTGGTGCCCTCCTTTGGGAAAGTATTCTCCCTCACATTTCTTCCAACTTTGCCACATGAAAAGCACAGCATGAAATAAGACTCTAACAGATTCACATACAAAGCCGCTGAGGGGCTGGCACATCTATGAGTGGGTTGGTTGAAAGGCATGTGACCCCAGGGAGGGAAGCAAATGGTCAATATGTGCTATCACACTTCTCTATCTGTTACCTTGGAAAGAAGGAAAGAGCCCATACCCTCTAATGCTGGAGGGGGGAAAGCACAAATCACCAAGCTGTGTTTGTTTATGGAACGTGTATGGCCAATGTTTTATGATGCAGTTTTTAAAATTGAGCAGAAATAGAAATGTGTTTCCATTCTGAACCATTTCGAGGATAAGTAACCCCCTGTTGCTAATTCTTCCAGATAAACGCTCTAACACCTGGAATTAGATACCCAAATCCTGCCAGCTGTCTGTTTCCTATTCAAGTGGGTTCTGGGACTGACTCTCTTAACAGATTAACTGCTTGATGGCCTGGCCCTCAGGCTCTATCAAATGAAGGGGTTTGGTCTCAGTTCTGACATTCAATGTTTCTGTGATTCCAAAGGCTTAAATGAGGCAAGAGGCTTTTGCCAAAAAGGTCTTCTCTCTGTCTTCACAGTAGGGCTGAAGTTCATACTTTATGGCAAAACTAGGGATATAATATCACATCGTCTTATCCATTCAACCTCTTAATAATAACTAATTAAAATATTTCAAGCAAATTGTGCTAAGTAATTCTTTTTAGATGACATATGTATTTATCTCTCTTTTCTGAAAGATTGCGGTGTTTAACTCACCAACACATCGCATGAGAAGAACACCACTGAGTACTCTTATCTCATTCTTATATCCTCCTTTGAGGCTCATACAAGCCATATCTACCACCCAATCAGATGCTCTATTGTGACTTGCCCTGGGTCACACTGATAGTAACTTAAACAAGATTCCAATCCAGGTCCTCTTGACTTCAAGCACAGCATTTTACCCAGTGTGCCATGCTCCTCATTAAGAACACTCTGTGAGGTCTCAGGGAGATGTCAGTGTGCCAAAACTTGGCACAATGCCCCGAGAGCCAGCTTCAGGTCCTGCTTCTGATACACGCTACCTGTGTGACCATGGACAAAATATTTAACCTCTTAATGGCCCAGGAAACTGTCTAAGAGAGCATCTGGAACACAGATGTGGATCAGTATATAAGTGAGTACACTTATTACTACTATTGGAGAGATTAGGTACTCTGTAAATCAAGATAAGCTGAAACCATAGGTAAAGTAACTCTTGCCTAATTCCCGCTGGGCTCTAGATGCCTCTTCTTGGCTGGAGGCTGCCATCTCTTAATCCTCATCCCTATAATCCTTGAGGTAACCCAGAACTGCATTCCAGTCCATCCCTCATCCCCCTTATCTCCTTCCCAACAGTCAATGGTCAGGCACCACCTGTCCTGACACTGCTCCCCAAAGTGCCCTGCTGCTAAGCCTGCCTATACATACTGTCTCCCCTAATTAGAATGTGAGTATCCTGAGGTCAGGAAATCTTGCTTTTCTATCTCTATCTTCAGAGCTAGGCACTTAGTACACCTTCAATAACTGTTTCTCCTTTTCATTCAATTCCATTCCTACCTTCAAAGAATTTTGAGAGACATTCCCGTGCATGATATGTAAAAGGAGAAGCTCTCTCAGTAAAGTGAGAATTTCACAGCATCAGAGCTAAAGAGATAGAAGGAAGCTTAGACATCATACGCTCAACCAGGACTTTTAAAATTGCTTCACACACTGCCCAGCACATAGCAGGCTCTACATAGATTCTGAGTCCTTTCCCCTTCCCCTTCCCCTTTTAAGTTGATTATGGGTCAGTACTTTATCCATTATGTGCCTTTGGAAAGCCCATATAAGCCATCAGTATGGACATCCCCAAGTGTTCAGTAAAGGTCTGTTTGTATGTGAGACTCCACTGGGAACAAAAAAAGTGAGTGATACAGCTCTAGGTGATTCTGGCCTATTGGCAGCTTATTGTAGAAAGAAGGAGGTCATTATTACTCTCAGTTTAACAATGCAGTAACAATCTCCACTTACCCTTGCAAGGCCTTTTCTCCAAACCAATCTCCTTTTCCTAAAGTGCGAAGAAAGATTGGGTCTTCACTCGGAGAATCTTCTCGAGTGACATTTACCTAATGGGGAAAAGAAGAGAATGAAAATGTTAGAAGAATAAAGCCTTTGTCACAAGTGATGGTGGGTGAGGATGGCTACCTTGGGCTTGTCACAAATTTGCATCCACCCTTCAGGGAACAGCCCCAGGCCTGTCTCTTCCAGGAAGACTTCCTGGATCAGGTAGTGATTTCTCCTATCTCTGAACTCATCTAGCAAATACACACACACACACACACACACACACACACACACACACATAACACACACTCACACACACACACAATCTTTCATAAAACCATAGATTTGGGGCTGGAAAACTTAAAAACAATCAAGAGCAAACCCTGTCATTTACACATGAAGAAACTGAGGCCCAGAGAAATTAAATGAGTGGTCAAAGCTGAAGCTTGAACCCAGATCTTAGAACTCGAATCAAACATTCTTTCCATTGTAGGACATTGACTCTTTGAACAGAATTAGAAGACCCAGAGGTCAATGCTAAACAGTTCTATGTCAAAGTGTTTGTGACTCAGATTTCTGCCAGTTTGAAGAGCTGTGAGGTGGAGGTGGTGGCTGTGAAATTATTTCAAAACATACTGTCACCTCTCTCTCTGACTGTTGAGGGGAGAGTTTCTTTACAGAGGCATAACTGTTTCCTGCTTCAATCAGTAGAACTAAACACAGACAGGGATACCTGTCTGGAGGGCCAGGGCACCCTGCTACATCTCTTACTTCATTTTCCGGAAAGAAAACAGGTTTAGTGGCCCAGAGAAAATACCTTCTCGAGGGCTCCGTTTTCACATTCAATTTTTTTAAATGTAAGGAAATCACTTGTTTCCCTTTTTGTTCTAAGACAAATGCCAGGCTTATTAATATGTTAAGTCCCAGGGCTTGCTGGCATCCCCACCCTACCTTTCCATCCTGTTCCTCATCTTTGCCTTTTTGAATGAGGCTGCCTCACCTTACCTCTCCCTCCCTTTTCCACAGGAATCAGCACAGCTCAGTACTCGTTTTCACTCTTTTCATGAATCCCCATGACAGGTTGGGGAGGATTCCTAGCTGATGAAGAAGCATGAGGGTGAACCAAAGATGTTATTGATTCTCCTTTCTCACAAAATCCCCAGGGGCCTCTGGGGAAAACCACCAAAGAGCTGGGGTCCTTGATTGAGAATTTACACCCTGTTTCTATAGCACCTCCCTTCCAGTGACTCATCTTAAGGTTTCTGAAGGCTCTGACAATGTTACACAAGCCTTGGAGTGGAGGTTCAGAAAGATCTAGATTTGAATCCCACATCAGGCATTTATTAACTGTGTGACATTGGGTAAGTCAAATAACCTCTATGTCTTAATTTCCATATGTAAAATAAAGTCTTAAACTGGAAGGCCCCTAAGGTCATTTCCAGCTCTAACTTGATGACTTTACCTCTGAAATGTTTTAGGTATATGGCCCTGGGTAAATCACCTAACCTGTCTGTTCCTCATTTTGGAAAGTGACTGGGATAAACTCAATAATAATAAGTGATAGGTAGCATTCATACAGTGCTTTAAGATTTGCAAAATGCTTTACTGATCTTGCCTCTAAGCTAGATGGCTTTCAAAGTCCTTTCTGTCTCCACATCTATGATTTTGCCTCTTAAACATCCTCCCTGTGTGACCCTAGGCAGGCCACTTCTTTGCCTGGTGCCTCAGTTACTCACCAGTGAAATGAAGGTGAGACTCAGTGATTTCTAAGATTTGAGCCAGGTCTATGACCTTGTGATCTATAAAGGTTTCACATCTCATCCTGGGGACTGAGGATGCTGGCCTTTGGAGAACCAGCCTGGTTAATGTAGACAGTGGCATGATCAGCAAGCTTAACACAACACAATTATATTTTTGATCATATAAGCCCAGGAAACCAGTTTCTCCCCAAATTCCCATCGTCCTCAGAATGGCGAAGGGACAAGAACTCCAAATGTGGCCATTCTCATCAAGATTCTCCTTTAAAGACTCCAAAACCGGCACCCCCATGAACGTCTGTTCACCCGTTTTTGGCCACAAGCTTTTGTTTCTTTCAGGCAGCAGTGAAGATTCATGACCACAGTGTGCCTCCAACAGCGTAGCTCAGGGGCTCTGTCAGGAGCACATGGTCCATAAACACAGCGTGAAGTTGAGCAGGGAAAGAATCTCTGGGACCAAGAGCATCCGTTGGGTATGTTCAAATTCCGATAGGTTTTCTGTCCATTTTTAGCCATGGAATGTGTATTAATATATGCTAATTGATTAACCCATGAAATATGAGGTTTTACTCTGATTAATTTTCTTTGGTTCTGGAAAATCTGAGATTCAATTTGTCAGAATCTCCCCCCACCCCAGTCTAGTTTCTGTGATGAGTACCCTTAAACATTTTGACTGACCACAGATAATGCTCCTCTGGTCATGCTACTGACATTTCCCCCAAAAAAATAAATTGATAAGATCAGGAATTTAGAGCCAGAAAGGATTTGAGAGGCCACTCTCCCCACCTTAGCCCCCATCTCCATTTTCTAGATAAGGAAGATAAAGCCCGAGGAAAATAAGTGACTTGCTCAGGGTCACACAGATAGTAAGTATCTGAGGTGAGATTTAAATCCAGGACCTCTGAATTCAAGTCCAACATCCTGTCTACATCATGCTGACACCTAGTCCAGGAATTAGACAAATAGTTTGCCTCAAGTGTCCTTTATCACTCTGTTCTCCGTGATCTGATACCGAGAATTCCCTGATGTCTTTTCTCCATGAGTTATCCAATATTTATTCATGTGAATGCTGGATTTCTATATTTCTCCCTCACCCCCACTCCCATTGTGTAAGCTCCCTGAGAGTAAATAACCTTGTTTTTTTTTTTTCCTCAGGGACCACCATAGTGCCTTGAACCTACTAGATACTTAATATATGCTAATTGAATTGTTATTGGTTTAATACTGACATGCTGGCTCTTGACCCTGGTCTAGGATATGAACCCTGACTGGCTTTTCCTGTTTTGGCTCTTGACTGGCTGGCAATGGGTTTGTCCATGGCTTGGTGTAGACTTCCCAAGTGGTGTTCATGAGCGTTCCCTCATTCATCACACCTGATTTTGTTTGTTTCTCTTCCCCCTTCCCATCACCCCTTTGTTGGTATATTCCATAGCCTCATTCCCTCCCTCCATGTTCCATCCCTGTGCTGTTCCCTGATTCAGTGGAACTGGAGCTAGACCCTCCTTGGCCCTTTCATTGTAAATGTGCGGGCATCCTGTGTTCTGATCACTGGCCTTATCTGGGGTCTGCCTCCTGGCCCTGGCTCTGGGCTGCTCTCTAGTGGTTTATTATAGCATGAGCCCTTCTGTAACACAGGATGCCCAGAACTAATGTAGTTTTTGAAAACATGTTCGAAAGCTGCTTCTAAACCTATTCAGGACTATGTGATTTCATGTTGCTTTTAAAAAAAGTCAATCCATGACCTGTATTTATTCTCCAGATACTCAAAGCTGAGTCAGAAGGAGAAATGCCATGACAACATGAATGTCATCTCCATCACCTTGGTATCTGCTTCCCTTTTCAGGGGGAGGACATGCAAGGACTCATACTCTGTCCTCATGTGGACATGGCTGGGGCCACATCACAGCCCTTTATTTTTCCTCTCACACTTTAAGGGTTACTAAACATAGCCTGTGAAGCAAGCAGAACAAATGGAAACTGAGAAGTCAAGTGACTTGCCCAAGGTCACACAGCTAATGAAGGCTTAGTCCAGGACTTGAACCTGACTTATTTAATTTATTACCCTGCTGGACCCCATCATGGCCATTATCACTGGACACTCACTGTATACATGACAATATTCTGAGAGCGCAGAGAAGACATAGTATATGGGCACAACAGCATGCTCTGGTCCCTTCTGGTTGAGCTGGAGACACATGGCAAAGGGGACATAGAACAGAGCAGAGCCATAACTAAGGTGAAGTAACTGGAGCTTTACTTCAGGGCACCAGCATCTGTTAGAGCATTTCTAGCCAACTGTCCCAGCACCTGACAGTCCTCCCCTGGCCTTGCGCTGTGTGCTGCCATGAGGGTGCCTCTTCCCCACTCTATGCCATGCTTTCCATTCCTTCCTCCCATTTCTTGAGTGCATCTGACTAGGGAGGATTATCTCCATGATCCCCACTCAGCTGAATTTGCCCTAGGTTCCAGAATTCCTCCTTGTGGTTCTGAGGGCTTTTTTTTTCTTTAAAAGCTACATGGAGTTTTAATTCTTATGAACTTTTGTAATCTGACAGTAGTTTTCTTTTCCCTCCTTACTCTTACCTCTAACGATCTGATTTCCTTCAAAATATAGGTCAAGCAGTGCCTTCTACATTAAATCTTTCCTGATTTCCTTGTTGCCAGAGCCTTACCTTCAAAAATTACCTTGTATTCTTTTTCCATATAGTTATATACATGTTGTTTCCATTAACAGATTATGAGCTCCTTGAAGTCAAGGACTCTTTGACTTTTGTCCTTGTATTACCAGTGCCTAGTACAGTGCCTGGCACCTAGCAGACACTTGATAAATATTTGTTGGTTGATTAGTTGGTTAATTATTTTCTTTCCCTCTAAAAATAGGTTAATATAAGTCTACCCTCCATCTTCCCCCTATCCCTTGGAAGTGAGTGGAGTGGCCTCTTCAGTCAGTCACTCACTCATTCCACTAGTATTTATTAAGTACTTACTATAGGCTAAGCACTGTGTTAAGTACAGGTGTGATCATCTTAAAATGATAAGTTCATTTTTTTTTTCAGAATTAACTCTCTGAAGCCTAGCTTCCAGTTGTCCTCTCCTAGTGGTGGAATGTTTGAAAAAGTTACAATGGTGTCAAAAACTCTACATTTCAGAGTCTTCCTACAGAAAACATGGCTAAGAGATGGTGCCCCAAGGCCATCATTGTTCCAGCCTCAAAGGGCATCAGAAAAACTTACCGTTCCTTTGCTGATGATGAAGAAGGTATCCCCTCGGGCCCCTTGCCTGATGATGTATTCTCCATTCTCATAGTGTGTCTGAAAAATAGAAGGGATAACAGAAAAACTGAGAAACCAGCATCACCAGAGAGACTGGCCAGGGTGCAAGGCAACTCTGACAGTTTATGCCATAAAGCCAGGGCAGGAAAGTTCGTCAATTCTGACATCCATGATGATTGTAGAATTTGCTTAAATCAAGAAGCATAATAATAATGAACGACCCGTTTCAACCTTGTCCATTTTTCTTAGAATTGTGCTTTATGATTCCCTCCCCTCCTCAGGGAATTACATCCATATTTCCCTAGTTGTTTATTTTTTTTCTGAATTGAATAAGAGGGGAATATACATTTTTCCCTTCCATTGACAGAAAGAGGAACAAACAAAACTTCAAAAGTACTCATTAAACTGGAATGTCTCTACTGCCATATTTGTTGATCTCATCTGGTTATCCTTATCACCCTCAGAAAGATGCATATGCTTGTTGAATCCAGTATAGGAGTAATGTAAGCAGGTCTTAGGTTAAGTTTTAGGGGCCATTTTGTGCTTTAATATTCAAGCTGCAGCACTTTGTCTTTTGATTATGCCAAAGAGAATTCTTTAGTTTTGTGGGGCCAATTTAAGCCTAGTACCTGCAGAGCCTGAGACAGCCATTCAAGGATCACAGGAAGGCTACAAACAGACAGATTATCTCAGTCGGGGTATCAAAATTCTATCCCAGCTGCAGGCACTCAACACATTCCCAGAGCAAGAATTATTTTTTCTAAGACCAGAAGTAATTTCTCTTTCTAAGGGGAGGTAGGAGAGAGCTCATTGCTGGGTCAGGAGGCATACAAGCTGAAAAATGAGAACCACACCATCTGGCCCTGAGCTTCTTTGTAACTTAGCAGGGAGCCATACTTGGGGACAGAAAATATCATTGTCAACTGTTCTTATGAGACACTGAATTCATGATGTGCATATAATATCTATCCATTAGATGGAGAGCCATGCTATATCCTCATAAACTCATGCTGTTTCTCCTCACAATCTTATTCATTCACCATTTTGTCACAGAACTTTTTATAATCCATTTTCATAATAACTTAGTTTCCATTCAAAGTGGGACAATCACTCTTTTGCTTCTGAATCACGATAGTAGACCCAAGACTTCTTCAATTCATTCATGAAGTGTTTCAATCATTCATTCATTCATTCATTCATTCATTCATTCACTTAACAAACACTTCTTGGGTGACTTTTGTGTACAAAGCATTGCACTAGGGACCACAAAGACTACAAGATTGAAGACTCTATCAATGGCCCTGTCTTCATAGAGCATCCCATCTAAGAGAGAAGTTAAGGTATGCAGAAGATGATGTTTGGAGTTGATTCATGGCATTTTTTTTTTTGCTCAAGAAGCCATACTAATATGGTATTGCTTTTAGTGTAAAAGGCAACCTTATTTGTTTGATACTTAAAGTTTCTTGAAATTTTGATCCAACCTATCTCTTTAGACAAATTTCACTTTATTCTCCCTCACAAACTCTTTAGTTTATTAGGTGTTCCCAGTATATGACAGTTAATCTCCTGGTGCCATGTCTTTGCACAGGCTGTCCCCCATGTCTGGAGAGTTCTGTCTCTTGGAATTCCTAACTGCTTTTGAGGTTCAACTCTAGCACCACCTGCTGCATGAGACCCTTCCAGGGATCCTCCCTTATTATCATTGTTCCAGTTTTTTTCCTCCTCCCCCTCTCACAAAACATGTTTTTATATATTTTGCATGTATTTATCTCTGTACTTACCCTGCCTCCCCTCTTTAGAATATAAGCTCCTTAAGGGAAAGGATTGTTTTATTTTTGGTTTTACATCCTTAGTACCTAGAACAATGATTAACACATAGAAGGTTCTTAATAAATCCTTGTTGAATTGATTTTCTTTACTTATTTTTAAAGTATACATTCATGTCATCATTATGGTCATGTCCAGACGCTGATGGAAAATATGGCCCAGAATAACGAGATTTGATGTCTGAAACACCTAATGCCAAAAGAATTCTGAGAGGGTATGGAGGTCACTGACATGAAGCCAGAATTAAGAAACAAAATGGAATGAGCAGAAGAAACAGAGTTGAATGTAAGCTCCTTGAGGGTAGGAAGAAGGTCATTTGGTTGTTGTCCTTTTTCTACCCGGCAGTGTCTGATATAGAACAAGCCCATAATTAATGCTCCTTAAATGAATGAATGAATGAATGAGTAAATGAATGATGCTGCTTCATTTTGCTTCCCTGTTATGTGATGGTACATCTTATTCAGAAGAAAATAAATAGAAAGAGGAAGTACAATTCTTTTTTCTCTATACAATCTCTGCCTGCTCCCCCTCCACCCCGAAAGTGGTAGAGCTATTGTATTTATCTTAAAATTAGTGGTTGAAATCTCAAAGTAGAGGTTTCAGAATTTTATACAAAAATATTTTTTTTCAGTTTTTCTTCCATTTATACTCTCTAGAGAGATTTTTTCCTGTTTTTTTAATTATATTTTAGATTTCTCTCTCATGAATTTAGGAAGCAGGTAATAAATTTCCACCATGGTCTGTGTGGAAAGGCCCAGTTCACTCACATTTCACGGTTGCTAGCCTGCCAAGATGCTGATACAGCTCAGTCCGTGCCCCTCGACATTCACCAACTTGTGGCTTAGCTAAGGAGGGACTGAGCTGTGGTCAGGATCCAAGAACTTGAGAGCAATCACCTCTGCCATGGAGACTGTCTTCCTTGTTAGCCAGACGCTCAACCAGGTGCACTCAGGAGCTGCTTGGGAAGTGTCTGGCATCCTCTCCTTGACTTCCTGTATGCAAAGGTGATGTGTGACTCAGGGTCATAGTTTATCTACCAGAATTGACAGGAGCCCCGGTTGCCTCTGGAGAATTCTGATCGGCTGGTGATCCCACCCAAGGAAGTCCCCTTCTCCTTCCACTGGGACAGTGAGCAAGCAGGAGCAGCTTAGGACAAAGCCTGAGTAACTGGCTCCTGTGTAATCTAATAAGGATATCTGGGATTGATGAGATGCTCTAAGTTTGCAAAGTGTTTTAAACATATGTAACCTGGGGTTGACAGCTCATGTACAACATTGGCCTTGCCAAAGCTGGCCACCTCTACATACTGGCTAAGCACTTAAGTGAGGGCTTCAGGGAAGGATGTTGGAGGTGCTGTTGACAAATTTCCTGGATGCTTCTAGCTGACCATGCGTGACTCAACACTTGAATACTTTGGAATGATGGCATTGTCCCACAGACAGGAAGAGGCAAAGACCTAGAAATGTATTTGAACTTAAAATCCAAGAATCTGTAGCTAGTCAGTAAGCATTTATTAAACACTTACTATATATCATACATTGTGCTAAGGATTGGGGGCTATAAAGAAAAGCCAAAACAGTCCCTGCCCTCAAAAAGCTCACATTCCAATAGGGGAGACTGTGTGTCAATATCTAGGTAAATACAAGACATAGAGTAGATGGAAAGTCATCTGAGAAAGGAAGTCCCTAGCACCAGAAAAGACTTCCTGCAGAAGGTGGGATTTGAGCTGAGTCTTACAGAAAAGCAGAAGCCAGGTGACAGAGATGAGAAGAGAGGACATGCCTGGAATGGGGAACAGCCAATGAAAAGGCAAAGAGTTGGGAGTGTTGTGCACAAGGACTACTGTTGCTGGATCATACAGTTAGTGGAGGAGAATAAAATGTAAAAAGGCTGGAAAGCTTTGAAGGAATCAGCTTATAAAGAATTTTAAATTACAAATAGAAGAGTTTATATAAATCTTGGGAGAAATAGGAAACCATTGATGTTCCTGAGTGAGGGGCAGGGTAGAAAGATGTTTGACATGGTCAGATCTTCACTGTAGGAAAACCTTTGGCAGCTGAGTGAGTATGCATTAAGTGAGACTTGAGGCAGAGTGAAGGTGAGTGGTGATGAAGGCCTGAGCTAGGGTTGTGGCTGTGTGAATGGAAAGAAGGGGGCATAGAGGAGAGCTTTTGGAAAGGTAGACACAATGAGATTTGTAGGGTAAGTGAGAGTGAAGAATTGAGGATGTCCCCCAGGTTGAGACCTTGGGTGACAAGAAAGATCTTGGTATAATCAATAGCAATGGGGAGTTCAGAAAAGAAGATTGTTGTTGTTGTTATGGGAGGACAATAAAGAATTCTGTTTTGTCAATGTTGAATCTGAGATGTTTATAGGATATCAAGTTGGTTAAGTCAGGTGATGGAGACAGTGTGCCACAGCAGAAAATGTATGGGATTTGGCATTAGGAGACTGGGTTTCCCATCCTCTATTACCTATGTGGGATTGGAAAATTCTTTTTAACCTCTTTGTGACTCTGTTTCTTCATCTGTAAAGTGAGCAAATTTGGGCTGGATGGCTTCTGAGGCTCCTTCTAGCTCTGCATCTGTGATTCCATCATTGTACTGGTGAGAGGGACCAAACACGTATGTGGGGAAAGAATACTCTGAATATAATAAGAATTTCAAGAAGAAATAGACATTGACAACTGAAAGGATCAGCACAATCACCTTGCTTTTTGTTGGATGTAGATCAGGTATTTTCAGAACAGATTTGGCCTTTGAGCACATCCAGTGGAAATGACCATGGGTTCAGTTATCATCTTCATGTATGTGATTCCCAAATCCATTTACCCAGCTCTGATTTTCCTCCAGAGCTCCAATCTTGCATCACCAACTCTCTTGGACATCTGAAATCATGTCCCTTAACTATCTCAAATTCAACATTTCAATATAGTGCTCACTATCTCTCCCCTCAAACACTCCCCTCTTAGAATTTCCTGTATTCCTGTTAAAGGCCCCATCATCTTCCCTGTCTCTCAGGCTCATGACTCCATTCCTCTCTCCTACTGACCCAACATATATAATCTATTATTAAGTCTTGCAATTTCTACTGTCATGATATTGTTTTTATATATCCCCTATCCACTCACATAGTTACCATTCTTCTATAGACCTTCATTACCTCTCACCTGGACTATTGAAAGTCTCCTAATTGGTCTCCCCGACTTAAGT